TGGTTCCTAAGATATAATGCACCAAGACGAATCGATGACTCCTTGGATATGACGCACCAAGATGAGCCAAGCTGATCAATGGATATTACACACCATGATCACATTAATGGATATTATTCACCATCGACAAAAGAAAAGAATCACTCTCAAGGTTCCAAAAATAATAATCAAAGTCTAATCTTTATTTATGAAATGAGCCTCATTATATAGAGGAAATACATCAAAACGTTCATAAATATATCTTAACATGCAGAGCATCTAGGAACACCAAATTCAAACTCTAAATTGCATGTAAGAGAGAAATGAACAAAATTAAATGCAGTTTTTACTATGGACGAAATATGACCTTCCTTGATAGTTGTTAGGCTAAATCCAACTTTGTGGGCTTTTCGGATAGATTAAAATTGTATAACAAGTCGATTTGTAACTTAATTCGTTTTGGTTTGGTCGGAATTCTTCAATTAATCCGCATATGTCTGAATTGGATAAATTGGGAATCACCTGATTTGTAAATTAATTAACTTGTTCGTTTGAATTCCGTTTTATCTGATTCTTCTTCGAGGTGTTCTGTAAATGAGTTTTAAATATTCTCCAAGTTGTTTCATGCATTGAGTCTTCATTGTTGAGAAGATACGCTTTGAGAAATGAGCATGTGTCCTTTCAATTATGATTGGAGTTGGGCTGCTGGTTTAGTATATGATCTCATTGTAATGTCCTTGAATCTTCCCATGATCGTATTTGCTTTTGATGACTGTTTTATATCAAATTTGACAATTCTGAAGACCAGATTCGACGATTTTTGAAGACACAATTCCTAAGACCAAAATTATATTACCTGCCAACATCATGCAGTAGACCTGCTAGCAGAGCACAAGATGTTGGGAAGAAACATATCTAATTTTTTTTAATCTTCTTAATTTGCATGCTTCAAAAAAGAGAGAGGATTTTAGTATATGACTCTATACTTGCAAAAATATTTATTTGTAAAACTTAATTATCCTTCTAGGTAGAAAGATATTTATTGTTCAAAACTAAAATAATTATTGTTCAAAAAAAAACTAAAATAGTTAGATTAAACTACTGTCCACAATCGTTAAACATAACATCAAACTAAACACATATTCACTTCCCAATTAAACTGACTCTCGTGTGGCCACATAACTTCAGCATCAAAGAGTGTTTAGAGGGAAAACCTCTTCTCGTTCTCCCTAATAGTGCATGACCATGTTACTTGTGCATGAGCAGATATGATATGGTCGATCCACCTAATTCTCTCCAGCATATGAGCCTAGCCAAAGATGCATGTCACATCCCCCCCATATGACAAAACTCCTATCGGATACTGGTTATTCCTCGACTGTATCCAAATTCTAAGCCATAATAAGATCAACAATCAATGTAAGATAGATCAGAAATTC